CGTGATATCTGTAAAAGGATTTCAAGATCACTTCTTTCACACAAAAAGCAATTATTAAAACTAGAAATAATGTGTCAGGTCGACCATACCCTGCATTATAGTAGGCCTTGTTTATTCAGAGACAAATATCAATCGATTCACTTGAGGACATAACCAACTGAGGTCAAGAGATTTATAGAATGAAATTTCAGTGCAGAATGAGAGCCACAGGAAAGCAAAAGATGTCCATGGAAACTGAGTAGAGGAGTAAGACCACAGCCTAGGGATCAGAAAAGATCTTGAGTAGTAGTTTAATTTATATGAGTCTTAAGGATTAGAGGAAGGCAGACAGAAGACATTTCAGGCCAAGAGACCAGCATGTGCAAAGGCTTGGAAATGTAAGAGGATCTGATGTGCTCTGGGAAATTTGTGTCACTTAGTAGACTCAGAGATACTTAAAGAAGTGCTGTGAAATGAATCTGCTGAGGTAGGGAGGCAACAGATCATTCATTCATGCATGCATGCATTCAATCATTCAATACAGACATATTGAGCAGCTGTTAGGAGGAAAGCACTGTGCTAGACACCAGGAACATGGTGTAGAACAAAACAGATGCCATGTCTCTCATCATGGAGTATTCAGTTTACTGAGGAAGACAGAAATTATTCAAATAATCAACAGATTTTATGTGTGAAAACAATTACTACTTTTTTTTCCTCTTTTTGCTTGAATAAGATTCACCCTGAGCTAACATCAGTTGCCAATCTTCCTCTATTTTGTATGTGGGTTGCCAGCATAACATGGCCCCTAATGAGTGCTGTAGGTCTGTGCGTGGGAACTGAACCCACACCACCAAAGCAGAGTACGCCAAACTTAACCACTAGACCACCAGGCTGGCCCCAATAATCATTACTTTCGATTATTGTTATGGAAATCTATAGAGCATAATGAGAGTAAACAATAAAGGTCTCTGATCATGCCTGGGGGGATAAGAAAAAATTCTTTGAGGAAGATATTTGAAAGATGAAGTTAACTTTAACTGAAAGGTAATAAAATAATGTTTATTGGGCTCTTGTTATATGTTAATTACACAGCCAAACCCTTTAGAAACATTATCCAATTTAGTCTTCACTTCTTTCCAATGAGGTAGATCTCCTGGTTATTTCCATGTTACAAGTGAGAAAAATGACGCATAGAAAGTTTATCCAAATTGTTCAGCTGTTAAGTTGAGAATTTTCTAACTTAGTCTGATTCCTGAATTCTATTTCTACTTCGCATTGTATGACATTATCTTTGGTAGGCTAAAGGAAAAGTGGAGAGCATTCCAGACACAGAGCAAAGCATGTGCAAAGGCCCTTTGGCAAGAAGGAGGAATATGCAAAAATAAGCTCCTTAGAATCAGATATTTTGTTTTTCATTTGTGGCGCATGTCAAAAAAATATTAAATACAAGTATCAAAAATCATGGGTGATGGAAGCCTTTTTTTAGTAAGTGAATAACCTGTTCAAGGAAGTGTCTTGAAGATGACATTCATCTTAACAGTGTGTTCCCTGCCCTAGTTTGCCTTTCATTCACTTATGCATTCCCCCAACCACCATTTGTTGGGCAGTCTATGGGACAGCACAGAAAAGGGATCAAGGAGAAAGGGCTTGAGGCCAAACACTGACTGCTAGCTGCAACTCACCAACTCCATTAGTCCCCTTGGGATGAAATTGGGAAATTTATTTAACTATCCAATCTTCAGTTTCCTCATGTGTGCATGGAGATCTTAACCATCTCACAAGGTTTGAGGACTGATTGTGATGTTGTTTATAAAGCGCTTTGCACATTGTTTGGGGCATTACATAGCAGTCAGTTTTTTAAATTAGATTTTACTCTAATTAATGTGTAACAGGTGCTGCTGATATAGGTACGGCTAAGGCAATGTTTACCATCCTCAAGGAGATCACAGATTAGTGGGGAAGACACACTGGAAGCAGGTAATTCCAATACAGAGTGACAGGAGATATGCCCTAAAAAAGCACAGATTGCTATGAGGACACAGAGGAGTGTGCTGGTAATAATTAGGAGAGAGAGCTGGATGGTCACAAATTTTATATTCGAGCTGTGATTCGAAGGGAAAGTAGGAATTTTCAAGGCAAACCGTGGGAATGGTAACATGCTAGGCAGGGAGAACCTCATTTCAGATGTGAAGAGGCCAATGAGAACACAGTGAGAATTGGGGAACTGTCTTCACACCCTGGTGTGGACGAGGCTCAGAAGAGGGAAGGGGAGATCAGAAGAAGAGTGTGGGGAGCTGAGCAAGAACTCGATTCTTGTGCTTTGGAACTTGGCTCTTACTCTAAAGAATAAAAGATGAAGGGGCTGATGGAGGGTTTTACTTGGAAGTGTAAGAGAATGAAATTGACCTGTTGGAATGTTCTTTCTGGCTCTCGTGTTGACTTGCTACTGGAATGAAGTAAGAGGCACCTAGCATGAAGCTTTAGAGGCAGTAAAATTAGTTTGAGAACTTTCGCTGTAGTCCAGGCAGACATGATGGGGCACTGGGTATGCTGGGAGGATGCTGCAGGAGTGAATTAAGTAATGTTCCCTCCAGGGCTGGTGCTAGGGAGAAGCTAGTGCCATGCCTAGGATACAAAAAATTTAAGAAGGCACTCACTCTCAAGGTCTTCAGTGCTCCCTTAAATTTTGAGCCCACACACCTCTGGGGCTCACAGCTCAGTACAGGACAATCAAGATGTTATTGCCTATTCAGCAGAAAAGGAATTAAGTATTTTCTTGACTCATTTGTCCCTGTCTGCAGTTTAGCTGGAGGCAAGACCAGGCGCCAGATGACAGAGGTCCCTCCCTTGGGACTTTCCAGAAGCAATAAATGATCCCAGGCTCATTCTGCCTTCTATGCCTTAGGGGAGATCTCCTTTCTGTGTTTGACGGAATGGATGCAGATGAGTGAGCTAGGTCGCTGTGGCAGCAGGTGGAACATTCCAGGGAACTTGAATACACCGTCTTGAAGCAGTTACTGTAACCATCTAGGTTGCAAAAAGCCATTCCTGTGTCTGTGGACTGGCCACATGGGCACGAGGTAAAGTAAGTAGTGTTTTAGTGTATACTTTTTTCACTACCCTTCTCCATACTTTAAATTCTCTGGATCTGCATTTTCTCCCTCCTTCCCCTGCAGCCATTTTTCCCTATCTCTAGGCTCAGCCTTCTTATGTTCTTTCTCAGGAATAATGACTACTCCTATACCTTCCTCTGAGGGCCCTCCTCTGTGATATTTTGCAGCTGTGATGATCCCGTTCTAGTTTTCTACTCACGGAAACACTTATAATGAGAATATGAGCTGTCAGGAGCCCCAGAATGAGACAGGCTTCTAATAGGGTCTATTTCAAGAGAGTGCTTTAATCTTTTAACCCAAGGTAGGACTCCAGATCTGAGATATGCCTGGGTCAGTGGTATGGTGAAAGGGAGCTCTTGATAGGTTGGGGAACTTAGAGATTCTATGGGTGCTTCTCAAATCTTAACCTCGCTGGGTGGCTAGATCCTGACTTTGAATTCCTGGTTGCCTGTCTATGCAGTACGGGCTCACACACACTGCTTCTTCCACTTTAAAAGCTTGAGAGAACACATCTAAGATGTTACTTTGCCCAGCAAGTTGATCTTTGTAAGCAGGGAAAATGAACTGGATTTTAACTTTAAGTAATATTAGGGATATACCTTAATATAAAGTAAAGAATATATGTATATTGTCTCATACACATCTCTTTTCTTTGGTAAATGTAACTCCCTATTCTTTGCCATGCTCACTCATAGCATCAACAAATATTTCAAGTGACAGTAATCAGTACCAGACTTCCTGGTTTATTTTTAAAAGTCAAAGGACAACTTCAGATGCTTTGTGAGCCTGGAGCTCCTCCTAAAGAAGTTACATTACTATGGATTAAAGGGAATATGGAGTAAACTCTAAGAGCTGAAGGCACCAATTAAGTAACTTCTAATGAAAGCGTAAATTTTTAGTACTTCCTTTAATAACAAAACAACCTTCATCAAATTTTTACCATATATTTGACAACATTAAAATAATACAATTTTTTCATATAATAGAAAAATAGAAACTGTCAGATAAAACAAAAATAAAACAAAATCACCTGAGTTCACTACTCAGGTGAAACAGTAGTTAATATCTCCATGTTTCATCTACAAGACGTCCTATCATTGCAAATATATGTTTATGTAGCATTGCTATTGTCCAACAATGACCCCGAGCATAAGAATGTTTTTAACCTCTTTTTTTAATTTAACAATAAATGGTGAGCATTAAATAGTAATTATGTTTTAAATAATTAATAATTATGCTTTCTTTGTTTATAAGTTGATCTTTCTTGATACAGAATAAAAAGGTTTTTCTTTGTTAATGAGAAAATCAATTTCCTTTCTAATGAAGATTACTTAATAATTTTGAGACAATTTAAAGTGATGGCAGAGTTGTAAATTTTATTTTTATCTTCTTAAAGAGTGTAGTAGGGGCCAGCCCAGTGGCGCAGCAGTTAAGTGCGCATGTGCCCCTTCAGGGCCAAGGGTTCACTGGTTCGGATCCTGGGTGTGGACATGGCACCGTGTGGCAAGCGAAGCTGTGGTAGACGTCCCACATATAAAGTAGAGGAAGATGGGCTCGGATGTTAGCTCAGGGCCAGTCTTCCTCAGAAAAAAGAGGAGGTTTAGCAGATGTTAGCTCAGTGCTAATCTTCCTGGAAAAAAAAAAGAGTGTAGTATATTCCATTATAAGTTCCTTTTTCAGTGATGAAATCCATTCAGCACTGGGTAGGGAGTTTCTCAAAAATCTCTGGGAGGGGAAATTTGAGGAGATCAACTGGATTGTGTTCCCTGAAGGACAGAATGTCCTTGTTTACTAATGTTTTTCAAAATTGTTCTTGGAATACACAAAAAATAAAATTTTATAGAATTAAAAATCAACAGAGAACCTATCGAATCTATTTTAAAAGAAGTTTAAATAAGAAGTGTTTGGTAGCTGTAGCCAATTATATCTATGTTGTATATTTTTGACTTGCTCCAGTTACTTATTTCCGATCAGGCTTGCTCAACCACAAATTAGGAAGATTGGCAGAAAGAAGAAGATAATGAGTCTTAGAGAACTTTTGATGAATTGACAGAAGAATGTTTAGATGGAAATTTTCTTCCAGATATTAAAGAGGTGAAGGTAAGTAGGTAATAGTAGATTGGCTCTCCCAGAGTCCTAATAATACATTGAGAATGTAGATTTGCTAATTCACATATGGTGCCTGTTATTTCTGAGCTTCAAGAGGATTATAGCCAGTGGTATGCTGGTGACCGCGTAATAACTGGCTTTTGGGGGTTTGATTAGTAGATTTGCTGATTCATGGGGTGTATATATTCCCATTATGATTGATTTCAAGCTACCAATATGATGGTGACCTCCTGACAAAATTCCTGAGAATTGAACCCTTGGTTCTCTCAAGCCAGTAGGAGCAGACTCCAGCAACACCACTAGCTACACTAGTTCTTATTAGGCCTGGCACACTGGGATTAGAATAAACCTGAAAAACTGCAGCTTGGGTTTGATTCAGAAAAGATGGCTCAGACCACGACTTCAGACCTTTACTGCTGCCCTTGAGCTTCAGCCACTCTACCGGGTTCTTTTCTTCTGAATTCTCATGATAACCTCCCCTTGGTCATTTTTTTCCCAATGACCCTTCATATTCCTAAGCTTGGTAGTATTGTTTGCGGGTGGGTAACACATTATTTTACTGTGACTTAGATAGGCTTTTTTAGATATGTGGATGTATGTGGTTACAGGGAACAGAGTGAGAGGGATAGACAGGTATAGGCATAGAGATAGAAGCCACTCAAGATTTATGTGGTTGAGTTGGAAGTAGAAGACCATTTATACTGGAAGCTGGTACTGAGCATGTGCTGAGTTTTAAATATTCATGTTATCAATTTATCCTGAATGCACACACAAAGTGTTCTGGATCAGGGACAGATGATCATTATTCACTTAAAAAGCATATAATAACAGTTTCCCATACCCAATTCTTATCCCTAGGTCTATATAATACAGGCCAGGTCAAACGTCCTATGCATACAAATGCCTTATGCTTACAAATTCAAGGAATGAAGAAAAATGTATTTTTTCTGCTTATAAAATCCAGAGAGACTATCCCTCCTCCCCCTACCTTCTCTCCTTTTGAGAAAGTCTCCTTCAGACTAATGGGAAATAAATCTCTCCAGGGAAAAGATAAGACCATTATCTCCAGTTCTAAAACCCAGCCATGTCTTCTTATTTCTGGAGTTAGGTAAATCTCTCAAGAGTTCTCCCATTATCTGTAGTTATCCCGCTAAGTATGGTTGTAAATTAATTTCTCAAGACTTGCTCTTGTCCTAGGATCCTAAGATGTTGAGAAAATTTATTTAGAAAGGTCAACTCAGGAAAAACACACAAATATTTTCTATACAACCCACAATATGCCAGGAATCTGAGTAGACAGCTGAGAAGAAGGAAGTTTTATGATTATGTAGCAAGGCAAAATTGCCTTGAAAATTCCCACAAGGGCTTCTGAAGGATGGAAGTGCAAGACTGGCCCACACTGCCTGGAACATGGGCTGTGCAGATGGACGATCCGCACAGGTAGTGTCTGTTGTCATCCTCCATCCAAAGTGGGTGGTACCCATAAGATAGGGAAAAGCTGTGGGAGGACACTTCACTGGAGCTAAATGAACTCTGGTGGGAAAAGAAAGGAGGAGGGAGATAGACGGACTTTGCTGTAGACAAAGGATGCGGTTTTTGGTTTGTTTTGTTTTTAACCTTTGACCGTAAGGAGAGCGAAAGCTAATAGGAGGGAACATAATGACATTAATGACAGTGACACAATACATTTGTATACAATTTTATAATTTCTAAAGTGCTCTAGCCTCCAATTTCCCATTGGATCCTCATACAACAACTCTGTGAGATAGACATTAAGGACTCTCAAAAAGATGTAAAAGGGTGAGATCACTATGCTGGAGAAATCCTGTTTCATTGGGAGGTAGGATAGTGAGTGGGTAAAACAAAGACTTTGGAATCAGACAGATTTATTAGCTGCATGTTCATCAGATGTTATTTGTATGACATTGAGCATATTACTTAACTTTTTTATTAAGGTAAGATTCACATAACATAAAATTTGCCATTTTTACCATTTTGCAGTGTGCAATTTAGTAGCTTTTAGTACATTTGTAATGTTGTACAACTATCACCACTATCTAATTCCAGAACATTTCATCACCCCAAAATAAATCTCATACTCACTAAGCAGTCACTTTCTATTTCACCCTCCCCCATTCACCTGGCAATTACTTATCACTTTCTGTCTCTATGGATTTGCTTATCATGGACTTTTGATATAAATGGAATCAAACAATATGTCAGCCTTTTGTGTCTGGCTTCTTTCATTTAACATAATGTTTTCAAGATAAATCCACATTATATTGTGTACCAGAACTTTGTTCCTTTTTATACTGAAAACTATTCCATTGTTTAGATTTAACACATTCACTTTACCCGTTCATCAATTGATGTATATTTGATGTGAGTTGTTTCCATGTTTTTGGCTATTATAAACAATGCTAACTATAAACATTCATTTACAAGTTTTGGTTTGAACACCTGTTTTCAATTCTCTTTGGTATATACCTAGGGGTAGGATTGCTGAGTCATTTGATAATTCTATATTGAACTTTTTGAGGAACTGGCAAACTGATTTCTGTAGAGACTGCATCATATTACATTCCTACTAATAATGTATCAATGTTCCAATTTCTCCATGCTCTCATCAATACTTATTTCCCATTTAAAACAAAAATTACAGCTATGCTAGTAGGTGTGAAACAGAACAAGAAAAAGAGATTGAAAAGTTACTTCCCTTTACTCTCATTCCTAACCAAATTCATGCTTAGTTTCAGATTCCAGAGGGAATAGCATACATGCAGGTCCAGAAGGAAAAGAGAACATAGGTTATTTGCAAAACCGAAAGTAGTACAGGGTAATTATAACATAAAGAGCACGTAAAGGAATGAGGCAGAGGAGAGGGGAAAGTTGAGTCAGTGGACCCCAAGGGATAACTGGTTAGCACCAATCTTGCCATATAAGGCTTGGAAGTTATGATAAGATATTTGGGTTTTATTCCAAGCAGAAGGAGAAACTGTTGAGTGTTTTAAGCAGATGATTGACATGATCTAGTTGGAGTTTGGTAAGACCACTCTAGTTTCTGAACAAACAATGGTTGGCAGAGAAAAGAATTCAGAGGTAGCAAATTCCTAAATGATGCTGCTGAAAAAATCCAGGAGAGAGAGAAAGTATTGATCACGTTTTAATGTGAAACATGTGAATGAACTTAAAGGCTATTCGGGAGACATAATAGTAAACCAAGTTTTAAATGATTAAAGAAAATAAATGAGATAAAGAGAAAGGCTTTGTCTTGGGAAACTAGTTGAATTCCATACCATTTAATAAGAGAGAAATCAAGAAAATGGGTGGATTGTGAAGAAAGGAAGAGGAGACAAGGTAATTTTTCTGCTTCACGTTGATTTTGAAGTTTTAGTAGGAGAGCCAAGAGAAATTGTCAAGTAGAGAGTTGGCTGTGTGAGACAGAGAAAGAATCGAGAATAGAGCTTTAGACTTGGAACTTTCAACACACAAATAGTTATTGCATTTATTTGCTTAATGTGTGTTAAACAAATTTAACCCCACAGCAAGCTTATGAATTAAGTAGTATTTGTTCCTTTATTTTAAAGTGAGGAATTTGAAACAGGATAAAAGTGCCAAAGGAAGTGTAAAACTTTTATGCATTTATGTTTTTGATGGTAGAAAATTAGGATATTTTCATCTGATGCCTATCATTTTCCTGAGACTTAAAAAATCCTTACGTCTTTCTCTCTCTCTAATTCTACCTATGTATTCTTCCAACAGAATTAAGGTCTTCAAATTCAGAGGAGTTAGAGCCATTGTTGGAGGGCTTTCTGCTAGGCATTTACATAAGTAATTCTATTAAATCAATATGATTACTTGACTTCCCACAATCTCTCTGTCCATGTTCTCATCCCCAGGTCAGTGCATCCCTTTAGGAAAGAACAGAAAGATGACCTTCTCCCTGATCTGCTTTATTTTCACACTATAAATGGTGGGGTTGAGTGCAGGAGGGATTGCCACATAGAGGTTGGCAAATAAAATGTGAAAAGTGCGAGAGATACTGTGACCAAAGCGGTGAGCAAGGACAGAGAATATGGCTGGTGTGTAGAATATGAGAATGACACTGACATGAGAATAACAGGTGCTGAGGGCTTTCTGGCAGGCATCTCTGGATGGAAGGTGGAAAACAGCACGAAGGATGGGAGTGTAGGAAATACCAATGAGGATGAGGTCTGAGATAATAGTCATTACAGGCACAGCAAAGCCATACCAGATATTGATGGAGATAACAACACAGGCGAGGCGGGCCACCCCTATGTGCGCACAGTATGTGTGAGGGATGGTAGGTGTCCTGCAGAAAGGCAAACGCTTCACCAGGAAAACAACAGGCAAAATAACACTAAAGCTCCGACCAGCAATGCCCACCATGATCCTGACAATTCTCTTAGGTGTCAAGATGCTCGTGTATCTCAAAGGGGAGCAAATGGCCATGTAATGATCAAACGCCATGCCCAATAAGATGGCTGAGTCCAGGAAAAAGCTGAAGTGGAGAAAGAACAACTGGGTGAGGCAGACAGGAAATGTGATTTCCTGAGCATTCAACCAGAAGATGCCAAGTGTTTTGGGGACACACGTGGTGCATAAGATGAGGTCTGCAGAGGCCAACATTGAGAGGAAGAAGAACATGGGTTCATGGAGGCTGCTGTCCATAGTGATGAGGTAGAGAAGGACACCATTACCTGCAAGGGCCACAAGGTAGATAGCGAAGAAAGGAATGCCAATCCAGATGTGGAAGTGCTCCAGCCCTGGAATCCCCACCAAAAGAAGGAGCCTGGATTGAAACTGGTAAAATTTAATGTGGCCATCATGGTGATTGTCATTTCCTGAGGACAAAATATAATATTTGACTCCTGAGAATAACAGGCTATAAATTCCCTTTAAGTCCTTTCCACAACTAAGATCATATTCAAAGTGACAAAGCAGATCTCAGAATCAGGTTTTTTTTTCAC